GGTTGGCGGAACGCCGATAAGCAACTTACGAAGGCGTATGGACCGCTGGGCTGAACACTTCCGCATTCAGTTCAGCTGGCCTCCTCCGCCGGCGAGCCTATTATGTATACCTAGTTGCGCGCCTTGGAACGTCTCATTGCAACAATCCACTGAATCTTGAGGTCTGCCTTGAGCTCCCACACTTGACGAAATTTAAGTCTGCTGCCCCAGACGGACTTACTCCAGAGCTGTTCAAGTTCGGGAGTGAAGTGATTGTCAACCAACTAACAGCTCTGTTCTCTAAGATCTGGTGTGAAGAAACAGTTTTATCCGCTTGGGACGAGTCAATTATCGTCCCAGTCTTCAAGAAAGTTACCCGTACCCTGTGCGCTAACCACAGAGAAATCAGTTTAATGTCCGTTACCTCCAAGCTGTTAACATCCATTCTACTCCGCAGACTAACCCCGATTCGAGAATTGCGCTGCCGTGAGGAACAGGCTGATTTCCGCCCCGGTCGAGAGTGTGTAGACCACCTGTTTACACTCCGCCAACTCATTGAAACGCGTCATCTTTACCGCCAGCCCACTATCACTGTTTTCCTGGACATCCGAGACGCGTTCGACTCCGTCGATCGGCCAGCTTTATGGCGTTGCTTACAAAGGAATGGAGTACCCGAAAAGTATATCGCCATCCTTCGAGCATTATATTGCAATATCTCAGGTAAAGTGAGGGCTTAGGGTAAGCTCTCTTTACCTTTTGGAGTGTACGACGGGGTTGCCCCATATCCCTGTTTCTCTTCAATTTTGCGATCGAGGATGTAGAGCTTCTTCCTGGCTTCCGCGTGAATGATTTAGATTATGCTGATGCTATTGCCTTGCTTGGTGATGACGCACAGAGCAAACAGGCCGCTCTCAACCGCTTGAGGATTGAAACCTCAAAATATGGCATAACCTTTGCCTCTATGAAATGCAAAGTCCTGGTCCTGGATTGGCATCCACGTGCCGCAGTGCTCACTCTTCAAGGTACGCAGCTTGAACAAGTAGACAACTTTATTTACCTGGTAAGCTGTCTCGGCTAATGATAGCATTAGAAAAGAGATTTTCGTCCGCATTGTTAATGCCCGTTCGGCATTCGCCAATTTAAGGCATCTGTGGCGACGCCGTGACGTTTCATTATTGGTAAAGGGCAGGGTCTACAATGCCTGTGTTGGCGCGGTGCTGCTGTATTGGGAGTGAGTCCTAGCCGATTCCTGTGAATGACTTGTGCCGGATTTCGGCCTTTGACAATGGATCTCTGCACATAATAGCTCGAGTGTGGTGAATGAATAACGCGCGCAACGATGATGTTAGACGTCGCGTCTTGGGTAACACGGGACTTCCGCTTGACAGACTGGTACCACTACGCACGGGACCTACGACAGCTAAACTGGAAGTCAGCGCTTTAATCGTTTGTCAATGAACAATGAATTTATACGGGTTAAGAAGCGTTGCTTTACAAGTCCCGTTGGATAGTTGCAGGGGATATCAACATAACAATAATGATGATAAGGATAGTAAAATAGTTAATACTTTAAATATGAAAATAAGGACTTATCGTTTGCTTCGCTGCAGTCCTGCGATCCTCTTAGATTCACAGCATCCACAGTTAACATCAAATAATTCCATGGTAAACTCCAGGTGTAGGATGGAGACGTAGTGTTAAGTAACAAAGTGTGAGTGCATGAGTGCATCGTCCAACCGTCTTTTAAATACTGTTAGTGTGGGTGCAGAGAAGACCGATTCTGGGAGAGCATTCCATGGGTGACAGACACGGATGGAAAAGAAATTTCTGCGACACTCCAGACGGCTGTATTGTTCTGCGAGTTTTAATGAGTGGCCCCTCAGGTTTGTATTACTGCTGAGTTGCAGTAAAGGGCGGCACACATGATGTGGGTCTCGCAGAATCAAGTATGCCATAATCAGGTTGCCTCGTAGTCTGCGATAGCTTCCACTGAACAATCCCAGTCGTCGCAGCCTCTCCTGGTAGGAAAGATTGCGCATTCCAATTACGTCCTTAGAAGCCCGGCGTTGTGGCTGCTCCAGTGCAATAAGGTTGTGTTTCAGCCATGGATGCCAGGCTTGAATTACATATTCGATATGGGGGCGAACATACGCACTGAGCATTTGTCGAAATATTGAGCTGTTTATTTGTCCAAACGCCCGCCTCAACAGCCTGACGTGTTGGCTCCCGGTCTTCGAGGCCTTTCCGGATTGCCTGGAGCAACCCAAGTCATCTTGAACCAGGACACCCAAGTCACGTTCGAGAGTTGAGTGTTGCAGTACATCCGTTCCGAGTCGGTATGAGTAGCTGCTTTGATGTCGGATGGAAAGCACCTTGCATTTACTGACGTTGAAATGCAATAAGTTTTGGGTCGACCATTGATACACCGTATCTAAATCACTCTGAAGCACATGTTGGTCGATGTTCGCCTGGATCCTGCGCCAGATCTTGATATCGTCGGCAAACATTAGGCTGTCCGACGCTCTCTCTTCACTTGCACTGGACCAGGCTGGAAGAAATCGCGCGGTGGTTAACCTATCACGTGGCGACAAACGATCAAAGCGCTGACTGCCAGTTTAGCTGTCGTATCTCCCGTGCGTCTTCCGGGCTGGGGGATCAAAGATGAGGAACACCACAGACTAGAAACTCTTTCGGAGATGGCGCATAACCGGGCCCAATGGAAAATGTGTAAAAATGTTTGTCTTGATTTCCTTGATTTACATCGCAAACATTAAATAGACAGAAAGATAAAACGGCGTGTGAAAAAAGAAAAGACGATTCAAAAAACTTTTTTGTAACTTTCATTCTTTTTGTGGTCTCTGTATTTGTTACTTCTGTTCCATAGTTTTCGCTGGCTCTATGTCTATCTTATAGATTGCTGATTATATATATATATATATATATATATATATATATATATATATATATATATATATATATATATATGAGGATATGACCAGCAGATTTCTTCTTTGATAGTCCACAGTAAAGGTTTCGTTTGTCACTGGATTCTTTTTGGTCAGTGTTATGGGTTTCCACAGCGAGAGAGTCCCCACAGTAATTTATAAATCCGAAGGATATAGGCCGCATAGACGCCACTCATGATCAGAGACAAGTGAAGTACTGTTGGGACCTTGCTATGAGCCCCTACACATACCACCTACGGCCACTGTTTTACAAGTGGAATCGACGCATTCCACTGACCTACCGAAGAATACGGCAGACACTGGCCTATGCTGTAGTCGACGTTCAAACTAGGTAACGCCACATAAAAATAATACGAAAAGCAATTGTCAGCCTGATCAAACTTGAGGGGGCGGGCCGCGCTCTGCTGCAATTAGGCCGCTGAAACTCGCTTTGTAAACAGGCCTCGTCCGTTGCGAGGTTTACATTGTCATGGTTAGGCTGGCAGCCACATCCCTTTGAGCGGAATGCCGGCCGACATCAGATGAACTTTGACAACCATTGACTCACCAATGGCGTTTCACATTGTTTCTCTCTGTATGCTGCTAAGCTATTCCACTAATTGTATGTAAATGGCTGACAAGAATACGCAGAATAGCTTAATTCTAACTATCTTGTCGAAATGTCGTTCTTACTATTTCAAACTTTATGAATGGAGACTTTTGTACGAACCTTCATCACTATACGTAATGCTCTAGACTCGTCCTACGTCGCAGTCACCTGGGTATCTGGGAAAATGTGAAAATTTCTCGGGTAGGTTCCAGTAAGGGAAAGTTGGACCATTAATATTCGGTGGAAGATTGCAATTCCTTCCAAAAATCATTTGCATCATATGACAGCCCTATTTACCTGCAGATTGCCCGAGGTGACTGTTCCAAAACACGAGGTTTCTAGCTCACTCCATAAGCGCATCAAAACTTTGTCTATTTGCGTAGTGTTTCTGCAGCGCCCTTTGTGTTTGCTTTTGTGGTCGGCCTTATCGACATTTTGTTTAGATTGTCTTTGGAAGTTTGCAGGGTACAACTTCCTTTTCAACCGAGGTCGCGAAGAAACTGGAAAAGCTGATAAGTTTGTCTAAGTTATGTGACTGTTGCACTTGACAGTCTCAGTTCGTCAGTGTGCAACATTGTTGAACTAGTCAACGTTTCTGTACGCGTGTCATCTGGTGTCATTCACCAATTCTCCACACGGCATACTGCCATTTCAGAAATCGCTGTCTTATGTCTTTTTCGCAGCACAGTGGCTTATACCAGCATACTGGGGTATTTCCGCTTTATGCTTACTTGAATCGACATCAACTGTGCAACTGATTACGTTTCACCAACTCGCTCCTTTTTGACAATTCTTTTCCTAGCCATTGATAGCTTGTCGATTAAACGGTGTCATCGTGGTTGAGAAAGACAGATAATCATGTGGCGAGTCTGATCACAAAACGAAATGAAGTGGATTAGTTCACCACTTCCTAATTTTGTGAGTTACGTACATACAGAACGCGATCACATTTACCACTGCGATAAGATGCTTCGGGTTCCCCCGATTAAATATCCTGATGAGCTAGTGACTTAGGCGCTACCTGAAATAACGGTGCAACAAAGAATTCTACCTGATGCCAGTGATCCTCCCGGATACATGATCTTGTAGACCAATGTGTAGCAATCGGATGAACCTGCGGTGTTTATGTTAACACTTCTCTTGGGGCTGTTTATTTCATCTGTTAGAGATAGCATGGGAAAATTCTGGGACGACCAATAATGGCACTCAGAGGAGCTCCGAGACACGGGCTTGTTTCTGTCGACTGAACGCCCATCGATTGATGCGTTGAAAACTTATTCACATATGCCTGATATCATCCACCTCCTTAGCTGCTCGCACCCTTGAGAACTCGCTCTCTGCAATCGCATTGTTTGGTCTCGTTACTTCAGTGTGATTATATGAGACGCTTCTTTTGACTCTGTTTTCATTTCGCTACTTGTTGCTCCATGGCATTCGCTTGCATTCTCCCACATTCTTTCTTTCAGGCCATATTTTTGAGCGAAATCTTGTGGACTATCAAGTTCACATTTGTTGTTTTCGTTGGCACGGAGCTCTCGGTCTGCACTCGTTGGGAAGTATTGACGAACAACTCCAACCCAAACAACACCATTCGACAATGGGATGATGTCTTTGTGCCACCTGGTCAATGCTGGGCCTCACTGCCGCTTCTACCATCGCTGATGGTGACCGGGGCGGTCATCGGCCTGTTAATCCAGTTCGTTATAGTTGCCAGACGACTTCGGCGGTATTGGGAAACACGTTTATTCTGCTCCCGCATACTTAATATGCCCACGTCGGCCACTGATTTGGCCGATCTTACTTGGTCGGAAGTTAAATCACGACTCATAGAGTCTCAGTTGCACACTACCGGGCTGGACGATTTGAGCATTCATCATCGCATACTGCGACACGAAAACTATTTGATCGCCATGATTGACCAGGATGTATTACCAGTGCGCTTCCGGTTATCATCAAGCGATTCGGCGGTCACGCATGTTTACTTGCCAAGTGGTTATTTGTTCAATCTTAAGCTGCTTCTCTTTTGGATTCCTTGGGCCCCATTTTGTCAACACTGGCAGCTGCAATCAGAGTACAAGGAGATCACCCGTCGCCAGGAATTAGCTTTGCATTTGGGAAAAATGGCACGTATTCTCGGCATATTGAACCTTTTGTTTTCGCCAATTATTCTGTTGGCCCAGTTACTTGTCTTTGTATGCTCTAATGCGGAACGCATTCGTTATAAACCGGCCTCTATCTTGGGACGACGCTGGTCTAATTACGCCCATTTTTATCTACGTCACTACAATGAACTTCCTCATCAGTTTTCCCTGCGCATCAGTATGGCCTACGAACCTGCTTGTCAGTATCTTAACTGTTTCACATCACGCAATCTCGTAAATGTCGCTGAGACTTGCGCATTTGTTCTGGGAAGTTGCTCTGTCGCTTTCTTCATCATGGCTATGATTCACGACCAACTATTACATCTAACAGGCTACTGGGCGATACTTGTTTTCGGTGGCCTACTAGCACGCGCGTGTCTCAGCTATATCCCTAATGAGCATGAAGTTCATCTACCAAAAACATTGCTTATCAACATTTTGGGCAGTATCCATCGCGTTCGCGAACACTGGATCGAGCAAGCCGCTACTTCTCGTGTTTGCGCCGAGTTTTCACAGCTTTTCCAGTACCGACTATGTGGGGCTTTGGAGGACTTGTTTTCCGCAACTCTCACACCGTTTTTACTTTTTTTCGTCGTACCAAATCACACTTTGGACATAGTAGACTTTCTGAGAAATTACACCGTTGAACTAAAGGATTTGGGTGACGTATGTAGCTTTGCCGAATTGGACATACGCCGTCATGGTGACCCACAGTGGAAGTTCTTTGGTGACAATGCGAGCGAACACGAGCCAATAGGTGTCACAGACCCCGAAAAGTCACCCATAGGGAACATCGATTCACAAAACTTGGGGGGTACCTGGGGGAAGACAGAATTGAGTCTAATGTATTTTCACCTCAACAACCCCACATGTGCACTCCCGCAAACCAGCCGAGCATATCTGCAGTCAATTAAAACGCAAATCTTGAAAGATTTGCATCATCCGCCTTTGCAGTCTGCTGAACAAACACGACTTCAAACAGCTAACCAGCCACTTTCGTTGCCCTTCACAACCGGTCTTCTTTCCTCCTTGTATGAAACACGAGACACCCAACAGCCATCCGTCACCCATGGACTGGGTTCTCTTGCTGGGCGCGACCCCCACATGTCAAAGGCCAAAAACGTCGCACATCTCCCGGGCCCTAGCTACCTCAGTTCAGGAACTCTGGGATTCGTCGGCGCCATGGTTGAGTCCATGAAAAATTCCATGCACCAATCAGATCCAGGAACGACCGCCCCCTCCAGATCTGACGACCAGGGTCCGCAGGGCATTTCTCCTACGTCTCTTGGTGATGCTATTCCAGCGGATTCTCAGACAACCCCCTCAGTTCCTAGTGTAGGAGCCATTAATGCCTCCGTTTCACCGTTCACTGCGCCTTCTTCATACGCACTACCACGTGATATCAATGCGATTAACAATAGTTTGATGGCAGCCTCCGCGTTATATTGTGCGCAGTCGACTTGTCATACGACCTACAAACCTTTTGTTTCGCAAATTGAGAATGGTTCTAGCCAAATTTGGGGGGCAAACGGCTCCAGTGTTCTCGGGTTTACTGCAAGTAGATACGGCTTAACAGAAATGTTGACAGCGGACACTTCTGCCAGTATCCTTTATATGCATGAACTAGCCCAACGTCGACGACTCCAGCAGTCCACCATCGGACATTCGACAGTCCAACAGCGCTCTGTGGGTCCTGGTTCTTATGGAGTTTCTGGAGATCCTCACTCACTTAATTACGGCTGGGCTGTACCATATCAAGCAGCTCAGATTCCTGGCATGCAGGCTTGCGGAGGGGTAGCCAAATCATCTGTTCATGTTGCAAGACCTGCGAACGATCGTGCTCCAAGTAGTCGGACTTCTTACGGCACCACAGGTAATACTTCTAATGAGCCCGTTGGTATCGTACGAACTAGTTTAGACACTTGCCGGTTTCAAAGGCAGTTAGTTTCTGAAGTAGATGAAGAAGAGGATGACCTAGTCGGTACACCACATGGCAACACTGACACTGTATTTCGCCATTTCACCCCCGGCACCGACACCATCCACTCGAATCGTGTTCTCTCCTCACCACATGGACCAACAGGCATTGTAACCCTGCCTAACGTTCCTCTCCGTTCCCGCCCTGTAGTCCCTAATGAATCTCCAAACCTTGCCCCAGATCCAAGTGCTGTTCCACCAGCTCTACATCAAGAGACAGACACGGACCATGTGTGGCCAGATTTACCCCCAACGAATTGTTAACTGGCTGCTTGATATCTTGTCTATTTCCTCATAATGTTTTGCTTTCACGCACCCTGATAAACGACCACTCACACCGAGGCCCTCTTGAATCATTTTCTATCTTTGTGTCTTAAAACGATGCTTCTGATTGAGATTTTATTCGAGGTTTTCACACCATACTTCCTTAGCTTTTGAATTAATACGCGCTTCAATCGCCTTACACAGCCCTACTACCATCCGCGGTTCTTTCATACCAACTTAATCTCAGCTTTCGAGCAGTTACATGCCCCTCTGTCGGTTTACCAATCAGCTTATCTGAGATTGTCCACTCGTTCTCTTGCCCTTGGCTTTCCCCCTTTTTCCTTAGCTTTCGAACATCAATTCGCACTATATTACAGCTGCCGGCTGTGATTAGCACGTGTGATGGCCTTGACGTTTCTAAATGATCTGCCTTACAACTATTGTTATCATTAATAAACTCCACTAACGGTTCTTCTTGATTTTTGGATCATATTATCGCTACGATGCGGACAAGCTCCGGTTTGCGAACTCATGAATGTACTATTATTGAGGTATCAATCGTAGGCATTGACATATAGCTATTGGAGCCCCAGCATCTGTTCGAATGTGGTGTCATTCAAGTTTTCCACTCGGGGAGTTATGAGCCCTAGAAATTATCACAATTTGCACCTGTGACGCGCCATGAGTGTAATGTCACACAACGATACTTTTGTAGCTAGTGGTACACATCTATGAACATATATTTTCGGCAAATTCATGCGTGCATTACATAAATTCGCCGAGATTGGACAAATGTCCTGGCGTAATATTGAAACAGTATTCATACAAAAAGCAAAATATGATCGAAATCGCTCGCGAACGTGTGAGTGTACGATGCTAGTGTGATATGATTGTAACATTGCACCCCGCATGTAGGTGCCGTAAACTTGAAGGGACTCTCATAGGAGACACACACAAGTCGATATGTCAAGCTTGGTGAGCCTCAGTGCCGAAACCTGCTTGGGGGAGACGGAATGTATGGCCCCGTTCGTTGTTGATTATCTTGTGATGCATGATATTCAATCCCGTTGGAAATTCCTAGCGCACAAAGCAGGCTATGGCTTCCGCATGAGCACCTACACCGTATTTGTCAATTTTTAGTTGGTAGCTACGGGACATTCTGTAGGTGTCGCATATTGCCACGTCCATTACGTATGCTGTGGAGTTCTTGATGGCTATTCATTCTGGCTTGATGTGCGTTGATGCCGTTGGGATGTGGGCCTCCGGGATGATTTGGGCTCCTTTATGACGAAGGATGGTAAGTTGCTTTACGACATCGTTGTGCCTCTTACAGCGGGCATCGTAGGTTCCTGCACAGGACTGCAAGACGTGGGAAAGTGTGGTTTTGTCCACAATTGCCCCGGCAGTGAAGACCAGTTGAATTTGTGGGTGGTCCTCCTCTGGAGCATCGAGACTTTATTGACAGTACCCCTGCTCGAGGTTGGGTTCCTCGGATGTAGAGTCTGGGAAAAATTTGATTGAGATTTCTTATCCAGTAATGAGACGCTGGTGTCGTAAATACCCCTGGAAGCAAGGGTCCGTCTGCAGATTGTAGCAGTGAATTCTTCCATGTTTTCTTCGCATCACTTTTGTCAAATACGACTTGATTACCAATGATTAGGGGTTTCATAGCGAGGCGCTGGATGGTAGCTGCTGAAGGTTCCCGTATCGCTCAGCTGGTACTTAGGTGGGAGAGTGAAAGATGACTTTCCAGGCGATCCTTCCGATGCCATAAATCTCAATTGATGCATGAAAGAAAGCGACGCTAGTGCCCTTGGGGAGTCATAACCACTTTCGTATACTTTCTCGTACCAACCTATCCATCGATTTGAGGGTCTGCCGATGCACTTCCGCCAATGAGAGGCAATGTGTATGACGTGTTAAAAGATAGGCGCGCAAGATATCCATGCGCTGGTAGGGTTTGAAGGCGGATTGACCTGTTTCCTGCAGCTGTGTTTTGAGTTGGTCTAGGGAGTTTGACGGGCGTTTACCCTTCCAATCAAATGGTAATCCAAGTGGCTGAAAATCCTCGAATGGCTGGATCGAGGGGATCTGAAGAGCGTCACAGGGAAGCTGCGTAGTGTTTAAAATAGGCACATTTTTTCTTTAGCTGTCGACGGTGATATCCAGTACCAACGATTTCATTTGGTTTATTGATAATCCAAGTTACTGTATATCCTGCCTAAATCGCCCTAGGCATTCGATCAGGGATTCTCGGTCACGAGCAAATAATGCGACATCATCTGCATAAGTGACATGATCGATTGGTCCTGCTGGCGAAATCCACTGTGCATCAGACTGTGTATTTAATGCTTCCTCAAGTGCCATGATGAAGAGCAAAGCAAAAAGTGGATCTTCTTGACGGACTGCACGCTCTGGGTGAATCCTCAGACCGCGGATGATTGAAACTCCGGAGGATCAATAATACTTCAGGTTATGTAGAAGAAAAAAAGGTGCACCGAAAGATGCTGCGTGAGGCAGGGAATCGTGGGAGATGGAATCAAAAGCTTTTGAAATGTCAAGAGAAGTAGTGGATAAAAGAATACCGTTCTAGTGTGATTGTCTCAGTGCGGAGTGTAATATCGTGGGGCTTCCAAGCAGCCATCTTTACGAAGAAAACCAACTGAAGACGGTCCGCTAGGAATTCAGGCATGCAGCGAACTAATAAAATTCGATGAAGAAGACGAGTGAAGTCTGAAGTTACGTAGATTAGACGAAAGTTTTCAGGGCGAGAAGTTTGAGGATTTTTGACACAAATGTTACACGGACAACGGTTATGTGAGTTGGATAAAGGGAACAAGCCACTAAGCAATTTAAGAAAGGCCTTATTAATCTCGGGTCCATTTGACTGATGTCATTTGGTGTGATACGGTCTACTCCAGGTGCAGAACTCGGTTCCTCAATGGCTATGGGTTTTACGAGATCCCAGTTAATATTTGCACAATCGCGTGATTCCCGGTTATCAGATACTGGGAGTTGCGAAAGCACGTCCTTCCAAAAGTCTTAGAAGCCCGGGATCACCTCTTCATCCGGCATAAATGCCGTCTCCCAATGACCACCGGGTACTGTAGCGGCAGCGTCTTTTCTTCGCGAATGGTAGAGGTGTTGTTTGTGGCGGTAATGAAGTCGCAATCGCTGACGATTGTTTGAGACTACATGCCCGTTGTCTGCGCTTACTGGGCCGCCATCTGTAAGAGAATATGGTTGAGCTCACTTTTTCCATGGCGTTACTAAATTCTGTCCTAGAGTGCCCCGTTTGCAGGTCTTCAATGTCTGTTCAGTTTGTGTTTTGCATTGGGCCAGTTTTTCTCTGACTTCCGTCATAGGACGTTGAAAAGCGGTTTGCTCTCTTGTGATTTCTGTAACTAGGTCCGAGGTATCTGCGGCGAGCTTCGCATGATTGTCAGCGCATGGTTCATCCAAATCGGCCCTTGGAGTGATTTCCTATGGTGAGGCCGTGGGTACTGATAGACTGAGTGTTAGAGTGGCGGGCTGTCGCCAGCTCACGTCAAGGTAAAGTATGTTGTGTGCGCTGACGTTCAGATGGGAACCGCGCCACGTGAGGGGCGAAACCATGTCTGTAGAGTTCAAGTGGAGTGGTGCATGGACCTCTTCAGTCAGAGGGTAGTAAGGGGAACTTGGCAACTGAGTGAGAAGGAGAGATGATGAGGCGGCGTGCGTAACTGTAATACTTGAGCAGTTATAGAGGTGTTCCCTTACTCCCAGGATGTTCCAACTGAGATCTTGCAACCGTTGCTTAATGCTGTCATTTGATCGGCAGGGGAATCGGATGCGGAGTTGCCTGAGCAACTGTGGAAGATTGGGGGGCGGAGGATGCCATATCCGTGGCACAGGCAAGAAGTGTCTCATCATCTAGCGCATACCAATTGCACTGGTGGTTGAATGGTCACGCCAGGCCATCTGCGTTGTAAGCATCCGGGTGGACTTGACGGCGGTGCTGAGACAAACCACGCTTGATTTTGAATAAATAAATAAATGTTTTATTCCAAACAGTGCGGAACACGCCTAAAAAGGCATGATCATAGTAATGCCGAACGTAAAATCAGTAATTATCACGTTACTATGTAATCAGTACATACTGGACTTATGTTGTATGTATATATGTAGGTACATGGTTTACTAATCATGTTAAGTGAATTTGTTACTGTCGTGCTGAATTTGTGGTTTTCTTTGCTAAATTCGCCGAAATTGAAACGGATCAAATCATATCTTTGAATTGGCTGATGTCTGTGAGTAGGGTAAGATCCTCTGGAAAGGCAGGAAACAGTGACTTTATTTAATGGCGAGTCATATCCGCCACACCTTTCGCTGCATCCTGAGCATTTGAACTCCGTCCAGTTGACAACGACAGTATCAGCCAAAAATCCCGTTCCATTGCCGCGGTGGTAAGCCAGGTGTTGACCTAAGCCAACGCTTGTGGAAAAAGAGCGCGGTCATAAGTCGCAGTAATGCAGGAGTATGGCGTCAGTCGTTAAATTTGGTAACTTTCCCCTTGCTGTAACAGATGACATGGACGGGTGTTGTGCCAGTGCAGTTGTTAATGTTGCTGTAGTGGTATCGGCCGGGGTGTTCGGCTCCTGGGATGATGTGTTGAGAGAACCTAACGAGACAAGGGAATTGAGATGAATGAAACGATGTGAGGTGTGGTAGGCGAGCGATTCCGATGGCTGGAATAGACTTCGGTAGAGGCCGAGCTGTTCGAGGTTGTTGAACAAGAGCCAGCAGGCCTGCTGTCCTGGCAATTCAGAACCGAAAGCGTAGGGAGGCAGGCCGAGACCTGCGCCGCGGGCCGTTCATAGGCCCCAATCCGCGGCTAGGGTTGAAGGTTTGAAGAGGATTGCGGGTGGATGAGTTTCTACTCGCGAGTTACTGTGTCTCAGAACAATAGGAACGTCGGAGGCTGTTGTGGAGGGCATGTAATTGCAGTCTGGCGAGTGGCATGCCAAAAGAGTGCACGATGGTGAAATGGCCTCCGTCTTTGATGGTGGGATTCCTGCTCTTCTGCGTGAAACCCTCTGGACTTCTACGTTCTTTGGCCATGGTGGTTTGGTCCGCTTGGGACGCTGCAACCTTCTCCTACTCTTCGCTGGCGTTCTCGTTGGAAAATGCTGGTGAAGGCAAAGCAACAAATTCTTCAGAGCTCTCTCCACGAAATGCAGTTCGCAGTTGGAATAAGTTGCAGCTGGCTTAAGCTGCGGGCTAGTTGGCATAAGCCACTAGCAGTCATGGGTTCGATCCTTGGAAGAAAGCCGAAGAATGCGCACCGCTGACGAGCACCAGTGGAGCGAAACGGCTGTCTGGTGCTTTCCTGGATTAGTAGTTGAGTTCACCGAATTGTCGGTCTATTGCGACCAGCTCAAAATAAGCAAGATACTTAAATGACTTGGCGATTCACTATCAGTGATATATTCATGTGCAGAGAGCAAGCGGTCACATCGTCCAAATAACATTGTGCAATTCTTTGAACGTGTCCTTCCTCATGTTTCTTTAAGTTTTCTGTCCATCCTAGAAGAGTTGGCCAGCAGATTGTCAG